GAGCGCTAAGCCAAGCGGATGCGCTTGGCTTGTAAGGCCGCCACCACTGCGCACGTGGCCAAAGCAAAGTTGATTTTTTTTTTGTGCAGCGTTGGAAGAATTGCGGAATGCTGGATCAGCTCATCGCAGGTGGCGATTTAATTGAAGAATCTCACGCAAAGCCAATATTTAAATTATCTCATGAAAGCGTTCACGTCCAAAAAAAAATTAGACGGATATTTTTTCTCTCTTAAGTTTCTCCCCCACCTCCCCGCCACCACCACCACCACCACCGCCACCGCCCGCCCCTCCTTCACAACCCACAAAGCACGCAAGTCCACGGCGAGAATCAACGCCACTGTCTCTCTCTCTCTCTAACTTTCTCAAAAGTTTTCCGCGGGTTTTTTTCCCCATGTGGTTAATTTTTATTTTCTTTTAAATGGCTGCCAAGCGCACAAAAAGTCCAAAAAGTCCATGCCGCAGTGCAGAATTACCACGTTATTTTGTTTCCAAAGTTATAGGCATTAGCAGGCGAGGCGTTCAATATATCTCTTGTCATCTCGGGAAACATGCGCGGACGGCCATTTACTTATTTAGAGCGAAAGGTTTGCGGGGAGAGATCTCTCTGCTTGTTTGCTCAGTGCTGCTAGGCAAGAGCACCTTTAACACCTCCCGTCAAATAATCAATACCCAATCAATGGGCAAGCACACCCGCGCTCACGATGTTTGTTTATTCTTTGACAAACATTTGCCCGGGGGGTGGGCGGGGGGGGGCGGGGGGGGGGGAGCGCCCCACCCCACCCACCCCCGTCCCTCCCCCGCTTTTTTTTTAATCCTGCACAAGAGATAAGTGAAATGTTGGAATTATGTACACTTAACTGGCTCAGCCGTTTGCTCATATTTCCACCCCCCCTCACCGACCTGCCGCTGGCTTTCGGTGCGCGTCTGACGTCAAACCGTGCCTCCCCCCCCCCCCCCCCCCGAGGAGTCAGAAGGGGGGCGAGTGGGGGACCCCCTTGTTTCGAAACCGCAAGATGGGATTTCAGCCGGCGACGGTCCACCGTGGCACTCGACGAACCGTCACGGCGTCGGTCGTGCCGCACAGATGTCCACGTCTTGTGTGACGCGCGAGCGCCGAGCGGACAACGGCCTCGGCAACACGCAGGGAAAAAAAAAAGAACTCACCCCGGGCCTGCCATGAGATTAGTAAACAAATCGTGATTAATATTTAACTGCCCTTTGTCAGTCCACCCGCCCGCTTGGAGAAGGGTGGGTTGTTTTATCGCACTCCTGCCAAGCGGCCACGTTGGTTAGCACAGGTTGGGGAAGGAAAGGCCCCCCACCTCCCCCCCCCCCAGGATCGGTTCCAGATTGTCAAATATTAGTGCAGTCTTCTCTTATTGTCGTGTGCCTCTGATGTGGATGCAGAGCAACGACGACCGTACTCGTTCAGCAGAGTGGTGCATCATCATCGCCGTGATGTCTCCTTCGTATTTGTGGATCGGGGCACTTGCGTCGTTCTACGTTGTACGGTCGCTTCTGGATAACGGAGTGTTTTTCATTTCACATCTGTGCATCTGGGATCCGCATCTGCCATGATTTGTGCAGTGGATGCGGTATCGGGTGGACCACGAGCTTCGCGGAAGGTCAAAACCCAGCGATCTTCTTCTCCGTTGGGTCTTTCACAGTGCAATCACAGATCTTTGTCAACCCACGGCTAAATGAAGGCCTCCCCATGGCTTGGCCATATTTCACCACGCTGCTCAGTGGGGATCGGGAAAGGGGAGGCCGTTTAAATAAAAGCTGCCATCGATGTTAGGAAATGAATAGTTCCCGAAGAAGCTCCAAAGCACATGGAGCGTTGTTACCTCGACTGACCAGTGTGGTGAAGTATGGCCGAACCAAATTGCCATTACCGATAAGGCATCGGGAGACCTTCCTCCACCAGTGGATTGATAAAAACGAATGTGAATCATAATTGTTTTTACGGATCTGATAATGCGGTTGTGTACCTAATTTGTATACTTAGCCAGTCTCCTTTTGTCAGCTGCATTAGGGTCCTATTTAAATTGCAAGCTTTTGACGTCAGATTGTGAGCAATGCTCAGTCTGGCTAGCTACAACCGAGTAGCACACACACACACATATCACCTCCAACAGTTGCACAAATGTTCCACTTGACTTTAGAGACGAGAGATGTATATCTAAAATATATAGTCTACGTGTGATCTCATACATACAGTCCAGATATATATGCATATCTCAAAATCTTAACATCTATTTTCCGAATCTCAATCTCGATTTTTTTTTGGCGATATCAAATAATCCAAACGTCCTGAGTAATGCGTCTCACTCTCAAGGCGTGCATGGAGGAAACGGTACGCAACCATTACGACAGCAGAGCCGATGGATATTCAATTGCATTAAGTCAATTTCAAATCTCATTCGGGCTGGGCAGCGGCATGGCTGGAGCAACCGGATGGCGAACAGAAAGGTTGCGAGCTCAAATCCTCGGCCGAGAGTCACCGCAGCCAATCATCTCTCAGGTCTCGGTAAAGCGAGTTACCGCATTGAGAGAGGACAAGGCGGCTCACCCTCTGCGTCACGGGGCATTTGGGGGAGTTCCATCGTCGACAGCGATGAGCAACTTGCCCCGTCGATTGTTCGACTGACCAAGGAGACTTTCTCAAGAAAATGTTGTTTTCTCATTGTTATCGATCCATCGGAATGCACCGATTTCCATCCGTTTGTGAAAGAAACCCACACGAAACTTCTGGCCAAAGCAAATTGCAGTCGAAGCATCTTGTCCGATCGCTGGCTGTTTTGTTAGAAGGTCTCTTTGCTGTATCTCTCTCTCTCTGTTCCTCCTTCTCCTCGCGCTCAATCCACACTTCCATTCTTTCTCTCTATTTGCCCACCTCCTACACTGGAACAAACTTCCCCCTCCACGTAAAGCGGTCACCTTCGCTCGCTAGTTTCCGCTCCGCGCTCAAAACTCACGTATTGTTACCCCAAGCTCACACACGACCCCTTAATCTCCCCCTCATAACGGCCAACGTTATTTTTCCCTCTTCATATTCTCGCTACACGGCTTTCACTAATTCCCCATTCATTCAATCTATTCATCATTCACTGCCATCAATTTCACTTTCACCAAATTCGCACATTGCAGACTTGCACCCAATGCATCCGCTCGTCTATTTCATTCACCCCATCTCCACGATTACATCCTTACGTACCATTGTTAATTCTGTGCAATGTGCCTTGGGTAAGGCGCTGCATAAATTACTTCAAGATAAGATGTCGAATAAGATAGAAAAAAAACTGCTAATGTCCACCGCGCCTGACTCAACTTTCCGCAAGAGCTCACCTTGGCCCCCGTGCCATTGACTTTGCGGCGTGTCCTACAGACCCCCGCTTGTGTCGACAGCATATACGAGCGGGGGGAGTACCAGGTGGAAAATGTCCGTCGACAGTCCTTTAAGGAGAGAGCGTCACTGCGCCCGGCGGCGAGGAAAGAGATGCGAAAGCTTGAAAAATGAAGACGGACTCCCCTGCATGGGGCCGCTCGTGTTTGTTTGTGATTTTTGGCATGCGTTGTTTTCCAATAAAACGCTGCCACAAGCCGTATTAAAAATGTTTTGTTTTGTAGATACAGCCGCAAGAAGTGCTTGCATTTTTTTTTATTTCCTCCGAGTTCGTAAGCACTTTGCAGGATGCACGCGTAACCTGCGTGCTATTTCGGATAATGTTCCAAAGTCATATTTGCATGAGAGACAGTCAAAGCGTTTTGAGAACAGGATATTAAAAGTGCGCGTAAACGTGCGGTACAAGTGCCGTTTCTAAGCCGCATCTCTCTGCGCATTGTACGAGAACGTAATAAGGGATGGAAGTAACAATTGCATTGTGGCATGAGGACCTGCCCACATCGTGTGAGTGATGGGGATAGTTTGGCCATACTTCACCACGCTGCTCGGTGGCACTTGATAAAGGAGGTGGTTAGGACCATTTCAGATGTAACTGACCAAGGATGTCCGTGTGATGGTACGTTGAACTCCTTTCGCACCGTACATAGCCAACCGTGCTAATCGGATATAGCCGGGGATGTGAACTCATGGCAGTGGCATAATGGCAATGTGTGCTAACCACTGCACAGAACTCGACCTCCCAAATTGTCATGAATAACTGTCATAATATATGCTTTAAATAAAGCAGAACATTTATTAGCAGTAAGCTTATATAATGTGTATTTGTGTATACATACTGTCAAACATCTCAGAAAGTAAACCCAGAGCACCTGGGTCTGTTCCGTGACCTTCTGCCAGCTAGCCTCCAACATTTAACACTGCCTCAAAAGTGCACCTAGCCTGGCACAAACCCCATAGTGACATCACCACCACTTTGTGAGAGATCAGGCTGATAAAATGATGTAACACAAATAAGAACAAAAGTTTTTGCGCACAGAAGCCGCGCTGAGTTATAAGGCCCTTCGAGCTCCGCGAGGATGTTTGGCCAATTCGTTCGAGGAGGCTGCAATGCCTGGTAGAAAATCGCCACGTTAAAAGTGGATCACTTTAATAGTAATTGAACTTCGAAATCCACACGTACAGGTAAGCAACCCCAACCGCTGCATTGCCACCTACTGGCCACCTCTTAAGAGTGGCAATCGGGCGAGACGGTGGCTCGAGATCCCTGCCACTGGATTCAGGTGATGCCCCGCCACTGCACCGATGATTCTTAACGAGGGCGAGGCACGCGTGCAGCTTCATCGCCTGCCACTGCGGGCAACACGGCCACGGCTTTCGTCTCGTTGCAAGGAGCTGCGCGGCGCGGCACAATTCTTTTTGTCGGGGGTACGTTTCGAGCGCATCTCTGCGCGAACGCGCCGATCCTTCGAACAACCACGGCCCAGCTCAGTCGTTCGAAGGGGCTCGTCCGCCCGACGGCCACGAGTTGTCGCCAGACCGCCCGCCGCTCCCGCCGGCCCCAGCTCTCCCGGCGTCGAGGCCTCCGTGCGCGTACCTGCTGCTGCTGCTGCTGCTGAAGGTGGAGCATCTCGGCGGCGCTCATCTCCAGCGCCGCGACGTCTCCGTTGATCCTGCCGCCCACCTCGCGCCCGCCCTCCAGCTGGCCGCCGATGCTGCCACCGTTGATCCTCACCGGGCTCGAAATGACCCTGCCGCCTCCCGTCTCTATCCCGCCATCCTGCATGGTGGAGGAGAGTCTGCGTCGCGCGCCGCCACCGCCGCCGTGGACCGTCACCGGGAGGAGAAAGAGGAGAGAAAGCTTCACGTCAGGCCAATTCTATGTAGGTGTCGCGGTTGTGCTTTGTGTGTGTCTCTCTCTCTCTCTCTGTCACTTTCGAGTGGCACTGAAATACAACATTATTTTTGAAATCCACTTTCCTAGGCCATTTGCATTTGAAATTAGCGAGGAATTCCCGCAATGCGGTCTTCAAAAAAAGCAAATGTCTCATCCGTTTAAACAAACGACTCATGGAAAGGCTCGCACGCTGACGAAAATCAACTCAAACGATGGCACAGCCACTGCATGACGTCCGACGTTTCGCTGCACGTGCTCGCGGGTTCTTACGGAATATTGAATTGTTCAGGTCAGGGCATTGTTCATGACCTGAAAACGCATTAGACACATGCTACGTGCAACATCGCGAGTCCAAGTCACTGGCGATTTTAGCTTCGACGGAAATGTGAACACCTACAATGGCAGTTACACCACCATGCACAAACACCACACTGGGTGGTCAGGGCAGATATGTGGCGGTCGGATACGCGAGATTATAGCACAAGTAAGCAATACAATTTACACTTAATAATGACGTTCACTGCTACGATAGAGCGTCAAACAATCGTCGATCTGCCCATGATCAAACTACCCGGAATAAGCCTGATATGCATGAGAAAAGCGGGCTCCCGTAACGCCGCCGTGCAAAGTAGAGGTGCATTGCAACAGAGTCCATTGTTCTACTCTACTTCTATGATATCACAGCCATCGGAATGAGCATCGGAATCTTTATTGAGCCTGCCGGAGGAATCCGCTGAGCTATGAAGCTCTTCTCCACAGATTTCCCGGTAGGGGCGCGTCAGCAAGTTAAGCCCGCGGCAACTGGCGAAGTACGGCATGGAGAAGCCCTCATTGAGCAGTGGAAAGAGGAAGGGATCCAGGTTCCATTACGTTTCGTTCACACGGAAGAACCTAGCCGACTCTCACGGCTCTTTCCGATGACGTAGGTGTAAGTCATGTTTTCTTTTTCCAATTCCGTTCCCGGTGACGTACACGTACGTCAAAAAAAATACCTTTATCGGTACACCTTCAGGTCGGAAGACGTACCGAGGCTCCCACAAGGCCATGCGGGAGGGCGTGTGGCACAGTTTGGCGCCAGCTATCGTAGAGTTGCGGTCGTGTCGCTACAGTTATCTGCGGTGAGTAACAATGTCTCTTAAAAACAACGGCGCTACGCCTCTCTAAATAAAATGAACGCCGAGCCGCTTGCACGTTCCGAGATTCAGCGGTGAACGGGACACCCACACCCTGCAACTTGCAGGCGTATCGGAACGAGAAAGGGTTTACTGGATGCAATTTAATGAAGTTTCGGGTTAATAATGCCGAGCAACGTTTGTAGTTTTGCCATAGGTTGTGGTGACCATGTGGCAGTGTTTCAATGTTCTCTTGGGGGGAGGGACGTGGGCAATGTTTTGCCACTGCCCAATCATGAATAGAAACACAAGGGCCGGAGAAAGCAGGGCACTGCGCGAACAACAAGGAGTAATATCCAAAGGAATGCACTGGTACATGTGCGTCTCTGCATGTGAAATGGGAGGCGGGAAAAAAATAACTTTTTCGGAAAATGAATGAGAAGTAAAATAAGCAAGCCATCAAGTGAATATCTATAAACATTGCTATCAGATTCAACTATATATATACAACTAAACTAAAACTATTTTTTTTAATTTCACCAGGTAAGGCCCAATGAGTTATATAGCTCTTTTTCAGAAGCGACCTGGCCACAATTTAAAACTGAACGAAGTGATTTATCACGTGTACATTTATCACAGCCAAATACTCTATACGCATGTACATACGAGGTGGCCAGGATATGGTAGTGTAGCGATGGATTCTTTAATCTATCTGTGCCGATCGCTGACTATTACCCACTGTTTTGTGTGGGCTTTTCTCCTTGGCACGCCAGTTTCCTCCCACGTGGGAAACACAGATCAATGTCATTGACCAAACGTGCCAATTCAAAGTATGGATGAAGAAAAAAACATCTTAAGACTCGGTGAGACTGTCCTGCGGAATAAAATGCTAGAATTATTATAATTATTACGCCTAAAACGGACTTCACATATAATTTTAATTATGATCAAAATCATTACAAAGATGGTAAGGCTACACTCCGACTGCGTGACTAAGTTAAGAAAATACAGATCAGAAGAAAAGTCAAGCAAGCTGATTCGCTCTCAACCGAGCCGAATGACAGCAAGATTAGAAGATAATTTCTGAAAATTGGATGTGCAGAAATAAATGCATAAACATGAATGGGGAACGATATGAATGATTACAGATGTATGTATTTGTTCACGACACGCGGTTTATAACACCCAAGGGGAATGAGCCGACAAAAATTAATGAAGAAACTCGTCGAGGAATGATGCAGGGTCAGTCTCAAGATATAAATATGAGAGGGGGAAAAGTCGTTCACAATAAGTTTGGTGAACAAAGTACCTCGATCGTTGGAGGGATGCAAATTTAAAAGGCAACAGGGCACATGTACGTCAGGCGAATAGCAAGGGTGGACTGGCATAAAGATGACGCAGTGAGCGGGAGAAGGGTGGAGTACCTTTAGAAACTTTAATTTAATCATCATCAGCAGAACACCAACATGACTGCACGATAACGTTTTCAATCAGTGCACAAAGCACGGCAGATGCGGATAACTGATGCACAAATGGAAAATGTAAAACTCTCCGGCAGTGTGCGACTGTGGTCATCCAGAACAGACCATTCAAAGTGTAACTATACGCAATGCCCCGATCCACAAACATGAAGCAGATACACACTCCGCTGCTCGTGACGCGGTTATCTGGCCTGACCACCTGAATGTGAAATCGTAGCTGTTGCTCTGCATCGACGTAAGAAGGAGTGCATGTTGCCCGCTGTGGACGTAAAGTTTGGAAACATGCACGCTGACATTTTTTTACAAAAACCGACAGGTACAAAAAGAAACCGGGAGAGGTGCCATGCTGTGAATGACAATAACAGATATGCATCATAATAATAATGATGACGTCGCCCTGCTGCTCTATTTAACACCTGAAGCAGGTGTATGGCTGCACTATTCTGGCAAATCGCCCGACGATGCTGGATGTAATTACCAGCGAAACGTCGTACTACTCAAATTGTAAATGTTGTGGATTTACTCTCCGACACACCGGTGGGCTGAAGCAGTAACTAATTGGCGTTTTGTTTACGTGACAAATCCCTTACCAATTGGCAGTGTCGGGTGGTGGAGGGTTACGACACATTTATACTTACGCGATCTAACTCAAAATCCTTTATGAATAATATTGGTCGCGAAAACAGATATGCATCAGGCAACATAAATTAAAAATATCGCATTGAGCATTTTTGTTATTTTTTAAAGTGAGTGGATTTCGAGGAAAGCAGTAGCAGAGGTGGGAGGGCGATGCGGTGCGATCGGACTCGGCGGTACGAGGAGCGGGACAGGGCCGCATGCAGAAGGTTGGCAAGTACAGCAGAACACCCACACGTGATTGGGACAAACGCGTGGAAGGAGCGAAGGGAGTGGATTTCGACAGGACGCGTCGCGCCACCGGACTATGGCCCTGCGGTCAAGCCGAATGTTGAAGTGGCAGTCAAAAGGGACGGAACACAGCCAAGAGGAAGACCACCCTGGGAAGAGAGCAACGCGATTAGCTCGTGCTGAAGTGAGATGGGTTGTGGCATTGCAGGATTTTGAGGGATGGTGATGTGGGGAAACCTTCATCCAGCAGTGATCGTGATAATTAAGTAATGTCAGGAAAGACATGCAAACAATGAGACAAATATATTCTCACTCTAAGAAAACATTTAATTCTCAACATCTAACCACCCACATTATTGCTGTATCTCCGTGCATCCAAAATCAAGAACGTTTTCACGTACACACATTTTAAGAATTTCAGATGACACGTGCTTATCAAAGTGTAGCTCGGATAACGACAACATATAGCACATTATCATAATTGTCATCATCACCGCCGTCACCAGGCATTCTCAATCCACCATGGGATTAATGCATTTCCGTGCCGATGTGTGACGTTACTAAACAGCATTTTCAATGTTTACTTCCTGCGGATTAAACAATTTGAGTAGATTGCCTCTATGATGCCCAGACGCACATTGTATCCGAAATTAGATTCACGTCGTGACAAATTGCCACCAAAAACACATTTTTTTTTAGTGAGATTACGTGTGCTATTTTCAGAGATGCATATCAGAGGAGTAATTTTGGCATTAATTGTGAGGCTTATTTATTTGATTAAGGCATAATAGGAGAGTGCGAGAAAGGAAGGCTTAAAAAGCTGATGGCCATTTGTTGGAGATTATTAAAAATGCCATGATTAAATTAATCAGGCTCCTGTCAAAAAAATCAAAGAGGGCTTGCAGATAAAAAGGAAAAGCCTCGCTTGGATATAATGCAGAAAATTTGATTTGAGGGACATTCTGAAGGTCACTGCTTTGAATGCAGTCTTGGGAATTGTAAAAAAAAAATGTTAACTGACAAATTCTCTGCATCATACGGCTGATAAAGAAAGTGGATACGGACTCTTGCAAAGGTGGCAGTGACCATTTAGAAAAAAAGCAATTCACAGCATCATCGTTAGGATAAATATTTTTTATTTAAAAAGAAATCATCTCCGCTGAGAGCAATTACGTCGCACTGTCCGAGTCAATGCAAATTAACACTCAATTAATTTACTAAACAAGCAAATAAATGACCGGCAAAAAGAGACACGTGCGTGCGCCTTTAATTCCCATTATTATTTACTGCAGTAATATTCAGAGAGACGATATGAAAATAATGCCCGTCACGAATATTATCGCCGGAGCCTATGCTAAAACAGCATAAATTATGCATAGGGCACCCGTATTTAAAATGATGAATGTTTCATCGTGTTCACCGAAGTGCAGATCCGTTTTACA